ACTGTTTTTTAGGCTGTCGAAGGACCTCTGGTGCCTCTCGTCCCACTTAAACTTCTTTCCTTTTTAGGAGATCCTGTAGTGCTCCGGCCTGCTCCGTGAAGTTGGGTATGAATCGTCGGTACCATGATGCCATTCCTAGGAAACTGTGAACCTCCTTCGTTGTTTTCGGTGCCGTCAGCTCTTTAAGGGGTCTTCTCATTGGGCAACTTTTTTTTTCGATTTTTTTTTTTTTGCATTTATTTATAGCTTGGGATGTTGTGTATATGTCCCCAAAAGGATTTTTAGAAATTCGAAATACTTTAGAAGATACAGCCATTTTTGGGAAGCAAGGTCTTCGAAAAATGGGCTTTTTTCAAACTTTAAGGGGGGACATCTGAGTAACTTTTTTTAAAAATCGAAAAATTTTTTTTTTGCTTAAAAAATTCTTTGGGGTCTTAAAAATAACATACCAAAAGATAGAGTCCGGCAAATGTGTCTAAGTGTCGAAATTTTCCATTCTGCGGCGATGCCTCTCATGTAAATATACACGATTTTAAAACTTTTAAAGTTTTTCTCAAAACCACTTTTTTTGAGTTGGCCGGAAACCTAACTCAAACAAATCTTAACCGATCGATCTGAAATTTTGACAGTATATCCAAAATACCTATGGCTATCGACACACGTAGTTTTTGTTTTTTGTTTTTTGTTTTTTTTGCTTACTTTTTTTTTTATCAACAATTTTGTGACGTTTTTTTTGCATGAAAATTGAACATTTTATTTAATCACTCACCATTTTGCTAAAAATCAAAATATCGAAAAAATCCTACGTGTGTCGATAGCGGTTGAGATACAGAAACTAACAAAATTTAATTTTTTGTTCTAGATCAAAAACTAAGGACGTTAGGTTTTCGGCCATGGACCCCTTTCAAAAAAATAGGGCCTACGAAGACATGCTGCACAGCCGCCATTTTGTTTTCGATTTATTAACAAAAAAATTTATTTTGTAGTTCACATCTAACATTATCAAACCTAATTTAAAATTTTTCGATTGGCTTTTTCATTTGGCCAAAAAAAATTCTAGAAAATTGGCTTTTTTTTGCCAGTTACTCAGATGTCCCCCCTTAATTGGTTCAAGATATAATTCATACTTGGTACCGGGTAAGCGTCTTTTCCCGTATTCTCGTTCAATAGTCGATAGTCTACGCATATCCTCCATGTGTTGTTTTTCTTTTTTAAAGTCGGCTAATTATGTACCACCTGTTTTGTATGAAATTGGGGGGACAACATTTTGGGACTTTGATTGTTTTTTTTTTTAGCGAAAGCTTACACAACAGTGAAATGATTAAAAATGGAAAATTATTGTCCAGGTATATAAAACCAAAGTTTACCAATGTTTGTGTTATATTATATGTGTTTTTGTCCAATTGTACCAAGTTTTGTTTATGTGTATTTTTAGAACGATCTTAACAATTGTAGTTGTGTTTCGGATCAGTACATTTGCATGGCAAAGCGTTGCAAAAACTTGTAAACGGAAAACTATTAACCAAAGTACGCCCTTTCAAATGAATTGGGGCAGTATTTCATATAGCAGCCATATAACCGATCTGGTTAATTAACTTTTCGAATTTCATACATACAGTCTAATTAACACTGCTTCTCAGTCGCTTACCTGACAAATGCCGTTTAATTTATTCGATTATCTTATTTGGTTCAGAAGTTTTGATTTTTGCAACGCAAAATGAGAAAAGACGCTACTCGCGCTTTTTCTCACTTAGCGTTGCAAAAATCATATCTTTTGAACCAAATAAGGTAATCGAATAATTTAAACGGCATTGGACAGGTAATTGTTGTTAAATATATATATGTACTGCATAAAGTACCACGCCCACAAATACGCCTTTTTAAAGGGTATCAAAGTGAAAAAATAATTTTTTTCAATGAAAACAATTTTTAAACAAAAATTTTTATTTAATTTTTTGTGTTTATTTTTATGTATTTGCTCAAATAAAAATAATTTTAAAACTGAAAAAAAAATTTTTTTTTTAATCCGAAGTGTAACCGCCACGCGCTACAGTTAGTATATTTCTAGAAATGTATGAAATTGTGTCGGTATTTTGGTATATTTTACTCTGAGTTGTTTTGGTTTTTTGCGTTGCATTTCCGCAGACGCAGCTCGACGCAGCCGATGAAAGTTAATTCTGATCCAGGAAAGATCCACGGAACTTGTAGTTATAGTGTAGTCAGTGGCTGTCATTGGCGTCAGAAGATATAGACTACTTTAGGCAGAAAAAGGTGAAAAAAATGGACACCTGGCAGGTAGCGATTTACCTGTAGAAGCCCAAACCAAAGTGTCAATTTTAAGATTTCTTTTGTAGAAGATATGAGCATTCAAAGTTGAACTTTCACTCGTTTTTTGCATCATACAAAAAAAAAATGGGTAAATTTGTCGACTTTTAGGTAATGTTTTACAAAAACCATAACACCAATGGACATGGTTTTTGCTTTAAATGATAGATACAATAATAAACTGTTAATGAACCTAAAAAAAACGGCACTTTGGTTTGGGCTGGAAGACGTAAATCGCTACCTGCCAGGTGTCCATTTTTTCACCTTTTTCTGTCTAAAGTAGTCTATATCTTTTTTAGATGGGCTAAGCCACCTACTACACTATAACTACGACCTTTGTGGATCTTTCCCGAACCAGAATTAACTTTCATCGGCTGCGTCTGCGAAAATGCAACGACATAAAGTAAATCAACTCATAGCCATATACTCTAATGCAGTTTTCATTAATTAGCTACTTCATTAGAACCTTGAAAGAGTCCACTATATTTGTCATTTTGCTTTGATTATTTTGGTAATACGACTACAGTCACACCGACCGTAAAAGGTAAACAAAAAAAACGGCCGCCATTCGCGGTGTATTATTATGAATTTCTGAATTCCTCGTCGAAGTATTCTTGCATAAATAAATGCAGAATCCTTTAAATTTATGTTTTTAACCTATAATGCTTAACATTTTTTTAGTTATTACAAAAAAAATTATTTTAATTAATTTTACAGCGCACGAACCTTGCTACCGCAAAACATATTATTTTTGCTAATTTTCTTATATATTTTCAGTTCAAAAACCAGCGAAATATATAGTGGTCCGATTTTCATAAAATTTTTACCAAAAATAATATAAATAAGGAATAATATAAAAAGGCTATATCTCAAAAATGATGGAATTATATTGAAAAACAGCCAAGTTATAATTTTTTTTTCTAAAAATTTATCGTACATTTGTATGGCAGCTATATGATATAGTCGGCCCGTTCCGACATATACATATAGCAGTGAGAGTATATAGAAGACTATATGCAAAGTTTCATTCAGATAGCTTTAAAACTGAGGGACTAGTTTGCGTAGAAACGGACAGACGGAAATGGCTAGATCGACTCGGCTATTGATACTGATCGAGAATATATATACTTTATAGGGTCGGAAACGTCTCCTTCACTGCGTTGCAAACTTCTGACTGAAATTATAATACCCTGCAAGGGTATAAAGATAAAAACATAAATAAAAAATATTAAAAAAAAAAATTTTATCGAAAAAATATATTTTTTTTACTTTAATACCTTTTAAAAAGGCGATTTTGTGGGAGTGGTACATTATGCAGTACATATATATATTTTACAACAATTACCTGTCAAATGTCGTTTAAATTATTCGATTACCTTATTTGGTTTAAAAGATATGATTTTTGCAACGCTAAATGAGAAAAGGCGCTACTGTGGGGCATTTCACGCGATGGTTCTTCTCGTGGAGAATTCTAGGTCGGGAGGGACTTCCTCCGTTAGTATCGGCCCTTGAGGGGCGATTTCCCAATTATGTAAAAATAAATAAGTAATTGACGGCTGCTTCCTTATTTTATGAATGTCAAAAGCGAACTGACTTAAATCTAACAATGAAAATCATAGCGGCTACGCAAATATGCTGTGTTTGCCGGCTATGCACAGGCATCCGAAGCGAGCTTGGACGATCGGTCATTGCCGTCACCCGGTTAACACAAAATTCAGACTAACACACAGGCGCGTAAACACATATTTAAGATCTCTGCACCTGTCTGCTCCTACTGCAACAAACTCCAGCCATTACATCACCACCGACTGCAACTACATAAACCAAATATGCACCTCCCTCAAAATTCCCACACTAAACCAACTCCTATCAGAAATCACACCAAATACCATAACTAAATTTCATAAATTAGCAACAAAATAGAATCTAAGTTAAAAAAAAAAAAAAATCCTGAAGGCCTTAGTCGCTCTGTATTTTGCATTCTTTCTAACAATAAAATAAATAAATCCAAATAAAAATCTTAGCAATTATATGGTGTTAAATTTTTGTATTATTGCAATTTGTATTTCAAATTTGAAAATAAAATTTATTAGACAACTCTTATTTGCAATCCTTGTTATAAAACATTTGTACGTACTTTTGTAAAAACCCCAACTTTGGTTGAGCCTCTCCTATGGCGGCTCTATATCATATCCCGATTATAAAAAAAAAAAAATTTTGTACATATATATTGGAAATAAAGTAATGTGAACTTTTGTTGTTTAGCTAATACAAGACGTTGATGCACTATGAAAAGTACATACATACATAAGTGGTGTTAGTAGACGCGAAGGAAATAACTTTATGGTATCTATAGAGTCGCCCCAAATTCAAGAATAAGAAATCGCCGAGTATATAAATGTATATGTATATAACGCATTATTATTTACGGTCCCTGATGATATTCGGCGTTTTTTAACAAGTCTCAATTTTTCAGAAATATGTAGCAATTACGAAACTACTAGATAAAGACATTGTATTATGAGACTTCTGAATATGAAAGTGCGAGTTAAAAAGTGTTTTGTTTGATAAGCAATACAACACTCAGAGGACATTATCAAAACGATATAAATAATTTTATATAGTTAAACGTTTGTGGATCTATCCTGCCCATCATATGAAAACTCAATTGTACGTGTGTCTGAATATACCTAATATATATGTATTCATAACATTCAACGAAACGTGATTTTAAGTGATTACGCGCGAAATGTCTATACAAGATGTTTTTTTAAGAACTGTCCGTGCATAGGAAACTTCCATCTGAATTTACAGGTATTTTGGACTTGAGTTTGAGCTGTTCTCTTGCGCTATAAGATATAAGCAATAGAGAGAAGAGATGCCAAGTCCTATAGCGCCGCCTAATGCACATCTCCGTAAGCCAGCTGCAAAAAGTTTTAAGTTGTTACATTTATAACAAAGGATACGGTACTAACTCACCTGTAGATTTGTACAATAGCCCTGTTGCAGAGCTTGCAATCACTGTGTTGACATGGTCATCCTCCCCACGAACGAACTGCAATAACACTCCACACGCCGAATAGAGCACCGCTAGTGTACCCAGCGTGTTGGCGGTGCCCGAACCTTGCTTCATGATGTGGTTGATTAACCTATGTTTTGTGTAAGACGGTATTAATAAAAACATTTAATTTAATTTTGGTTCTAAATATTCCTTACTGTGTCCGCCGAAGGTTCCCCGTCTGATTAAGTGCGTTGGTTACTTTAAAACCATTGTAGACTCCAGCAAGGCCGCCGATTCCTCCACCAACCATCACGGATGTTCCTATTTGCGAGAAGGCAAGCTCAAAGCGCCCTCGCTGTTTGTTAGCGCCTTCGGGAAAAATAAACTCGGGCTGTGCTTGCTGTAGAAACCGGGAATCATAGTTAAGGTACGGTGACACCGGGGCGCTACTAAATGTGCTCGTAGCCGGAGTATAGTTTGTTGTTGCCGCATCTGAAATATAGCATATTAATGTTTGTGCTTATTAAAAGTCTGGTCGGTCAGAAGGCAATGTACAAATGTACATATGTACACATGTAACAAACTAGCGACATTGCGTAACTAAATTCCTTACACGCTTACCGGCTGGTGCGGGCGCTAGTGAGAATGGTTTCCTCAAAAAATCGTCACTCATTTTGGAATTTGTTCTAGAGGTTTGCCAATGAAGGTTCACTAATTATTGTAAAAATCAGCCACCACTAAATTAGTTCACTTCCTCTATACATATAAGAAAACAATGTTTGCCGTGCTCCGATTACGATTTAAAACTTCAATTTGACATATGTTAGACAATAGAGGTGGAGAAACAACGATGAACATCGAAATGGTGCTGTCAATA